CGATGGTGCTTGTGATGGTAGTGGTGAAGCTTCTAATCGTAATGTCGAGCTGATGATTTAGGTTGGAGAGGGGTACATCATCATCATCACAGCAGCAGCAGCAGCAGCAGCAGCAGCAGCAGCAGCAGCAGTAGGTGCAGCAGCTGAGTAGCAGTAGTTCAGTACTAGTAAGTACGGGTAGCAGTTGCAGCAGTCGTATTCAGTAGTAGAACATTTCCTGAAGACGAAGCCGCTGGGCCAGGATGCCGTGCGCTGGACCGACAGCGACGGGGACCAGTTGCTTCTGCGATTGGGCGAGCGGCGATGGCTTCTTCGCTGAAGCTTACTGTGGTGTCTCAGAGTTTGGAGCTGGGGATTTGTGGGGTCTGGTAGTGTCTGAGTTCAGGGTTGAGGTTTTTGTCTGTTTTCTTTTTGGGGGGGTTCAGGGTTGCGGATTCGTGCTTCCAGATTGTTGATAGATGCTGACAGCTTCAACGTGTAGAGCAAGAGGGTGCTTGCCTAGATCCTGTGCCTACGCCCCGCTCAGCCTGGACTTCTTCATGAACGGAGTATGCAAGGTGGGCGGGACGTGAACTGAGACCGAACGAGACGCGGGAGATGAGTGCCTGAAAGTGAAGTCTGTGTCATCCGAACCAACCTTTGATATCACAGGTCCGAGACATCACCATCCTTGCCGCTGAGGGCGACACCCTGCGCCTGCTGCACCGGCGTGGTTTGTTTTTCCTCCGCCCAGTTTGTTTCAGGAGTCCAACCTCTGGGCCAGGCGCGGCACGGGTGCCGACGGTGCGACCACACGTTGTGTGGAGCGGCCGGTCGATGAGGAGGCGGGGTTCGGCATGGAAGTGGTGATCGGATGAGAGATGGAGAGAACGTTCAGGCAGCGAGCCACGCAGTGACATTGTTCGACCGCAGCGTGCGGGCCCGCTCCAGCTCGGGCTCCCAGCGAAGTCGGGCGCCCAGCTAACCATATCTAACCATCAAAGTTCAGATGTGGGTCTTTGGAAGCTGTGAGGTGACGTCGACGTCGTCGAGACGACGTGCTCCCAAGCAGCTCCTAGGCAGAAGGAACTCCTGTGAGCCGGGGCTTCCTGAGGGCTGCGATTGCATTTGAGGTCTGGTTAGAACCAGTCGAGCTGCGAGTGCAGACCTGAGCGGCATCGCCACCCGCTTGTTTTCCCAAGCTTCTCTATCTTCGACAGGGTATAGGCATAGAAATGCCAAGAACGTGGCTGCTCCCTGAGGCTCTGGAGAAGAAGACCAAGACGATTGTTGCTGGCTGAGTGCTGTTGCGAGGCAAAGCAGAACGGAAAGCTCTGCGACCTACCAGCAGCATCTGCTTCAAGGCTTGGCAAACACTGCTGCTGAGGTGGTTATGCCAGAGGGTTGTGGCAGCAACAGTGACTGGCGGCCAGATGCGCAGTGCTCAGCTTTCCAGCCGCCACTTCGACAGAGGCCCAGTTGCTGAAGAGCCGGGAATCTTGATCGATCGGGGCCAGAAGGGGAGAAGCTGTCTTGTTGGACTTCCGCGGGACCTCGGGAGGGCCAATCTATGTGACACCGAGGCGACGTGCAAGATCCTGGTCTGCTCAGCCAGTTTTGGATTTGTTGAATTTGTCACGAGATGCCGTAAGCCTGTCTCTGAACGCTGGGGATCTTGGCATGGCTGAGAAGCACTCTCTTGACAGGTCTGCGGCAGAGACCCTGCAGGCCGAGCCGACGCCGTGGCCAAGCTGCGGGATCTGGCTGTGGGCTGAGCGAAGGGTACGAGGACGAGTTTGAGTCCAGGGTCCATGTAGACTGGTAGCGTTTAAGATATCATGGTTTAGCAACACCTTGCTCCAATCAAGCACCCGAAGCGATTCTGTCTCCCTGGATGCACTGAAGCCGTCAACGCTGCTCATCGTCGCCACGATAATGTCATGTTGTTGGATGGCGGGGTGTTCAAAGTCGATTAAACCGAGTCGGTGCCACCAGGAAGAGAACCAAGCTGAGCCAAGGAGTTTGGCGTGGTAGTCAGCTGTTGACCTAGAATCAGGCTTGCTCATTCCTGCATAACGCGATGCAGCTTCTTCCTTCGCAGATATGCTGAATGAATTGAGTTGTTGACAGCCCGGCTTCGGCCTCAGGTACAAGCCGCCAAAGCTCACCAAAGCAGTGAAGCGGAGGCACAGCTTGCACGATTATCAAAGCCCCAACACTGGTCGCCCACTGTATCAGATGACAACAGCATGAGCGTGCATGGGAGTGTGCCGATGTGGAAGGCTGCCGAAGAGCCTGATCCCGGGAAAGACACAGCATCCTCCGAGGCCAGAGTCCGTTTGCGTGTCGAATCTTACACCTCTCCTCCTTAGATGCTGCCAGGATCCGTCAAAAAAGCAAGCTCCAGCGGAGCCGGCTCCGGATCTGCGGCAGGTAGGGTGAGCCCGACTTGACTGAGCCATCGTCGCCGGAAATCAAGTCCTGTCGTGACGCAGCTGTCTTGCAGGTGCCGGCAGAGACTCCGCCACAGATGCCAGAGAATCCAGAAGGCTGACACTCTGCAGGTAGCACAGGCTGTGAGGACTCTTTGCGAAATGCAGGCCGCCCCAAGCCAAGCCGAATAGCATTGCCGAATGCCACGCTTGGCTCAGCTTTAGCTCTACAGGCAAGAAATATCGGTAGGTCCTCGGATCGCCGCAAGCTCTACCCTTTCATATCTTTCACATTCTCATCATGGCCACCAGCCTGCAGAGCATAAATCAGCTTCTGGAGGTGTTCTTTCGACTTGTTCTGAAGCCCTCAAAAGCAACACTGGTTTCAATGCTGTGGATGTGCGAGCCGAGGTGCTTTTGGGCTTGGTCTCCCTGGCTCTGCTGGGTTTTGTGGATGCAGGCGCCAACATCCGTGGCAACCATCAGCTCGTGCTGGAGGAGATACAGCAGTCGCTTCAGGCAGGAGGGTTTGCATGCAACTTCTGTCCAAGAGCTGCCACGCTTCACGATCCCAGTCCCGTAAGCCATCTCTGCAGGAGTCCATGCAGGAGGTGCTGCGGGGCGGGTCGTGGTCGAAGCTCGAGAAGATCGAGAAGAGCATCTGGCAGACCTACCAGTCGCTGCCGAAGAACGAGTTCGGGCACATCGGCCCTCGCGCAGTGCGATATCTGGTGCACAACTACTTCGCCAAGGAGCATGGCTGGCTCATCAAGGGATTGGAGCCGCACGGCCACCAGGCCGACATGTCACAGGTCCACGAGGTCAACATTCTGCAGGACAAGGCCCCAGCTCTCGTGGAGTCCCTGTTGGAGGCCCAGAGAAAGGGCCGTGGCCTCGACCTCGCCGACGCCGTGGCCATGTTGGCCACCCTGGAGCGCCTCATCTTCGACGAGGCTATCAAGCTTCTACAGACTTCTTACAACTTGAATGCCCTTCCAATGGAGACCCCCATCGACGAAGTTGGCATTCATGATGTCTTGACATCATACTTGATTCTTTTCGAGATGGGTGAACGAGCCGTTCTTCAGAAGCCCGAGTTACATCATGCTTTGAAGGTGCGTGCTTCAGAGGTTGGAGGGAACTGGCCACTCCTCGTGGAGTTTGAGGAGGATGCAGTGTCCAATTTCAAGTTCACCAACAAAGACATCCGGAACCCGTTTCTGACCTCGCCTAGATTTTCTTTCGAGGATGCAGTGGATATAGTAGAAGGGCTTACAGCAGATTATGGCAAATGGCAGAATCTGGAGTGCCAGCAGATGAAGAGCGAGCTCATGGAACTGGACGCGCAAGGCAGGAAACGGTGCTTGAGGGATGGATGGCATCACTCGCGTGTCGCGCATGGTCCTGGGGTCATTCTCCTGAACTCTCAAAAATGGGAGGTACGCTGATGCCACACAAAGTACCGGAACCAGCAAATAATAATGACACTGAATGCTGCTTCAATTTCTGGGCGCGAATTTCGGCCGTGTGAAGGCATCCGAGAATTACGTTCAGTTATGGGTATACCAGTTTGCAGATTCACCAAGGGGCGAGATGGTCAAGCAATCGTAGATCAGAACAGTAAAGACGTGTTTAAGCTCAGCTAAATTCAAGCCATCCAAACATCATGGGTTAATGCTTGCATACAGAGCAAGGATGCGCTGCTCCTGACCAGTCTGAGCCCACCAATTTGTGCTTCATGGAGCAACGATGCAGAAACCTGCCAAAGCACTCTCGCCCAATCCTCAACGATGTAGACTTGGGTCACCTGTTTTGAAAGTTTGTCGAATTAGCCGGCAGCCGCAGCTCGGCAGCAGAGGCTTAAGGAACGGTGCCAGCGACCCTCGAGACCAAAGCTGAGACGAGACGCGTAAGAAAGGTCATCCCCTTGTTTTGGGGGAGAGACCCAACACACAAGAACAAACTTAGGCGGTAAATGGCGTGTTATCAGACGAGCTGGCAAAAAAGGAACCCAGGCCAGAGGTTGGAAGAACGTGAGATCCACCCTAAAGTCTTGCAGTGTCGGGCTCGGAAACTGGCGTGGCTTTTGAGAGGCAAAAAGGTACTTGCAGCATCCATGATATCGGGAGATTCTGCGATCTGCTTTTGGGCTTCAGGCAATGGCCTGGTGCCCTTGGGTCGCTTCTACTCGCAGCCGGAGAACGCGGAGTACCACTTCACCGAGACCCGGGAGTACCTCAGGCAGATCGGGGGACTGCAGGAGTCTGGCACGGGAGACCTGCATGTTCGCATTGCCAACTACATGACCGGCCCCTCGAATTGCATCGCATCATCCTCCTACTACTCCGTCTGCTGCCTGAACGAGTGCGAAGGGCTGATGAACGAGTTGGAGGCTAAGGTGCTGGCTCCGACGACCACAGCCCATCGCTTGCTGGACCTCGTGGTGAACATGTCCTCGGCCACCGTTGACGCTCCACGCCAGGTCCCTTCCGCACTGGAGCAGAAGCTGCACCTCATCGCCAAGCAGAACGACGGTCAGGTGCCCCTGCACGGACGGCTCTTCGCCCAGTGGATGCATTACG